ACGTCCCGACCGACACCGGCAAAGTCGCCTCAGGGCTCATTAACCCTGTGACCCCGAGCCGGGGAGCTCCGGCGGGCTGCTGAGTCACGCGAACTAAAAGTAGCAGAATCGGGCCAAAAGTGACGCCGTGTATAACACCCGATTTGTTGAATTTCTGAATCTATGATTTTTCATTTCTATAGGCTTCAACATTCTTTTCTTGGCTGTTGATTTGGATTTTTAAAAAAAAATGTTTTATAGGCCTCAATATTCTTGTCTCGGCTGCTGACTTGAATTCTTTTTTTTTAATAAAAAAAAAAAAAAAGATTTCATTTCATACCTTCATTCACCTAAACAAAGTTTGATCCATTTAGTCTAGTCACATGTGTCACAAGACGATGGAACCATGCGCTCGTCAATTTTGGGACGAATGGAGTATCATTTAAAATCTTTCCCTTTGTCTTGATTTTGGGTCGTCAAAGTTTGGGGACTTCCACAGCTTGAGTGTAGTAAAACCCACACAGAAAGGGACGTTTAAATTTCAATGGACATAAAAAATGTTAAGCCAAGAAAAAAAAAAAAAGTTTGATTCCAGTATTTTGACGATTGCATGATTTCACCACAATGCCTCATATATAGATTCATCTCCTGCCGACAAAGTTTGACCTTTTAGCATCTATGATCAGGCCAGCCGTTTGTTCGACCTTGTTTAGTAAGACCAACCAATGATCAAACTGCACAGAAAAATGTCACATACTTTCTTCTTTGAGCAGCGGAACTGGATGTGTTCGAGGAGTTCTTTAAACTTGGAGGGGTAGCGCTCTGGCTGGGTCAGCTTTACAAACACCTGGGGATGAGAGAGATGAAATAAGATAACATGAGATAGGATAAGATAAGACAAGATAAGACAAGCTTAGGTAGGATATGATAAGACAAGATAAGATGAGATGAGATAAGCTGAGATGAGCTAAGCTAAGATAAAATAAGCTAAGCTTAGCTACAATAAGATAAGATTTTATAGTTCAAGTGGGAAATTTTTTAGATATACATAGAATTTAAATTGTATTACTTTCAGTAAAGTAGGCCCAATCCTAAAGAAATAGAAACATCTAAATAATATCCAAAATAAAGATTCTGATAGGATAAGTGTGGTCAACTCTTCAGTTCTCACCTCGTCAGCCAGTATCAGATTGATGTCGGTTTTCATCCAGTTCAGAGTTTTCCCGATGGCAATGAGAAGAATGTTCTTCCTCAGCGTCTGCTTGGTGTAAATGATGAGATTACGAGCTTGTTCCGACTCCACATACTCATCCGATATGCAGAAGACCACAGCCTGGAAAGACATTCAAAGGTTAAAGGCTACAATATTTAAAAAAACAGTATGTAATTGTACTAGGATATTTCAGTGTAATTAAATTTCAGCTGAATCTTATGTCAATAAGACCCATGAGTAGATTACTTTGAAGGTGACAGATTCAATGGTCATGAGAGTCAGGTGGAAAGACGGAGAAAGAAGAATGACGAAAGAAAGGGAAAAGTGTGAAAGACTACAAAGAAAGTTTAAAAAAAAATTAATCAAGAAAAATGATCAGTGCAAACTTTTGGAACCTTTGATGACACTGTAAAGACGACTCGGCGAGGGAGTGGGACAGATAGGGTGCCTGCCTCGACAGAGCTGAGGAATGTACGACTAACATGATCTAAACAATTAACTACTAACCAGTTGAGGTAACCATCTCCAGTTAGGGCCATGGCAACACTTGGATGTGTAACTGATCAATAAACGTTATCAGAGTGAACTAACATATTTATTTATTCATTTCTTTTTTTCTTTCTTTCTTCATTCACTTATTCATTTATTTCTTTATTTCTTTCTTTATTCATTCAATTATTCATTTATTTATTTATTTATATAATCTATTTATTTACTTACCCATTTATCTATTTATTTATATTTAAAACATTCTCCTGTGCGTTTATACTGAGACTAGAAGATAATTTCAAAATCCAAAAGGCTGCATATTTTCTTGTTACTTCTAAACACAAAAGCGCCAGATGATAGAATTGGGCAGCGCATAAAGCAACCAAAAACTGTCCAATGGTTGATAAAGATGTGACATTACCTGAGCTGCCTTGATCACCATCGTTTGTGACTCTTGGTTGGTGGTCTCAGGATCGTCACAGTAAGACCTGGATACAAAATAAACACATTTTAGAATAGGCATTTGTTTTATATTGTGTTTGAAGAAAAATGATTGTCAGCGATAAATGTTTGCCCAGAATTTTCATGTTCCTTTTTCTTCATAAACATAATTGAAATATTACTCTCTGTCATGCTTTTCATATATACGTAATTGAACTATTATTTTCTTGTATGCTCTTCATATGCGTAACTGAACTATCACTCTCTCATATACTCTTTATATACGTAATTGAGCTATTACTCTCTTGCATGTTCTTCATATACGTAATTGAACTATTGTTCTCTTGTATGCAAGCACACATGCATTCATACATACATGTAAAGACATAATGACACACACACACACACACACACACAACACACCCATACACACTCACACAACC